AAAAAAAAAAAAGAAAGCTTCAACTGAATTGAAAGCCATCCTGCAGAAAGGAAGCCTCACATTTTTATGCAGTTCTTTTTCTKTCTTAATCAATTAAAACATCCAAAATAAAAAGAAAGGATGTGATGAGAAGCTCTGAACTGAGCTCTTGACTGTAAACCTGCACTCAAAGCCAAAGGCTCTGAGCACTTTTCTCAGGAACCTGTTGGTGGCGGTGGGAAGAGCCATGCGAGCTGCACAGGCATCAGGGGCGACTCTGATGCAGCTGTGGTGAAAGCACATGACGTTCCCAGTGCACTGAGCAACGTACCCGAGTCTACCCTAATTGTTCTTTCTGCTCAGTACTTCTATGGTCASGGATTAAAACCCCTCAGAAATCCCTGCTGCTGTCCAAGAGGCTGCACGGAGCCGTGGACCTGATCAGGAGCACAGGGRTCTGGGCAGGACGAGCCGAGACCGCGGCTGCCCACGAGCCTGAGGACCTTTCCATCCACTCCTCCTGSTTCCAGCCCCTTCTACTCTGTCGATTTTCCTGCCTTACATAATTAAAAATCCACGAAACTCAATCTATCATACCTGCCTTATATCCCCTTTTATTTGTTTTTGGCTTTTCTGAGGCCACCACCTGCTTCTTAAACATTCACTACTGCCACATGTTGCAGTCCGCTAGCAAGGATGCTTGCAGAAAGGAGAGAGATGTGCTTAGATATTGTCATGAACCGGATCTCCTCTTCCTGCTGACTCCCTCGTCCAGAAGGATTTCCTCGATAATGTCTCATGCACAACTCTGTTCACTGCTTTTTAAACTTTACTATCACTCCTGGCAGTTTTATGTCCTTTTCTTTGTAGCTGTTCTTTCCTCTGCTCATAGACCATCTGCTRTCCTGCTGCCCAAACTGCTTGTCAGCTTTAAAATCCATCAGCGCTGTGGGGTACTGCAAGTATTTCCTATTTTTTCCTTCCAAAATTTTGTTATAAGAAGGAGATTGTACTGTAATATGAAATTGCCTAAGAAAAAAGCAAAAGCCCACAGCAGTTGGGACAGAAGGCACCTAGCCTTATTTTTAATGTGCACTCACTRCCACTTATTACAAACTTATTCAAATACTCTTCTGGTAACCAGCTTCAAATGGTTTTCAACACACCTATTTGCAAAGAACACCAAGTTATGTGGCTGATGTTTTCCCCCCAAAGCTGATCCATTTAAGCTGAGAACAACTTCACTTCTGGTGCCAGTGAGGACATGTTGCTTTATGCCAACACAAAGCATGCGAGACGTTAGAAGGAATGTTGGAATTGTGGAAGGATGATGGAGAGTTGGAGGCTTCAGACACCAATGAATTGCTCCAAACTAGTCCATCCAGGTCTGAAACCTGTGCAGGGCTCCATCATCTTCCCTCTCCACACTGACAACTGGCCACTGGGAACAATCCTGCTGAAAATAACAGGCAGTCTTCAGAAGACTTGGGAAACTGGCCCAAACTGGGGCAGTGTTTCACAGGAACGCTAAAATACAGGTGGCTGCTGCTGCTATAAATATGTATGATCACAACAGATTTGGATCTAATTTTAGAGGACTGGCTGATAAGATCACTCCTTTTTTCTTCTTTTTTTTTTTTTTTTTTTTTTAATATCTGTTGATCCCTGCTAAGCTTAAGCAATTCTCAATTTAAGGCTTAAGTAATTCTCATTTAGTAACTCTCATTCACATTTTAAGCTTAAGGAATTTGCACTTTCAAGACGAGTTTGGCTGGGGAGTTAAACGCACAGCAGCCCRGCCAGGTTGTACTCTGGGCAAGCACAGGCTCACTTGGAATTCATTCCCACCAGTCTCGCAGCTTGCACAACAGGACTGCACCGCACTTTGCAAAAAATACATTTAAAATGACACTCAAGGGATTTTTTTTTTTTCTAATCTCAGCCAATCTATCCTATCTTCAGAGCAGGGCAGCGTGGAAAGATCAGAACRTTAYGTGGCACACAACAACAAGGCGTCAYCTATAGGACCCATCAAGTTTTAGAAAAACCCTTCCATCTCCTAGCGTAGTGGGGAGCAATAAGGGGGAAATCCTCAGTCCTCTCAACATACTGAATAGCTGCTGACCCAGGCAGCAAGTTGCTGATGCTACATTATTTGCTTCACAGTCCTGGTATACCCAAAGCATGCTGAAATAAAGTCTCAGAAACATCTGGTCCAGCTACCTCAAGACATTTTTTTTTTTTTTTTCATTTTTCTTTTTTTCTTCCCTTCTCTTTCTTAGGTTCCTTTTCTGGTAACTTTGTTCTCAATTACAAGGGCAGGGGGAAAAGATAGATGATGCCCTGTGCTCCGTGCCTGCCGGGTGCTGCTGCTGCCAAGGCGGGGAGCGCAGCAAGGGGCATCCCTGCTCGCTCTGCCAGCTCGTGGGGCACCATGAGCCGGCACCAGGCGGCTCTCAGAGAGTCCTCAGCTTCCCTGGAGCAAGGAGCAGCCAAGGAGGGGGCAGCTGCGAGCCAGTGCCCTTCAGACGGTCMCATCTAAGCTCCCTAATTAGTCCGGAGAGCTAATATCCTCTAGATGTCGCCTGACATCCAAATTAAGCTTTGCCTAAACTGCCAGATTTTAATTAGTCTGTGGTAGAAGAGGAAAGTGCATTTGCCTAGCTCGCCGTGCAGAGCACCCAAGGAAGCAGCCTACAGAAGATGAGCCTCCTAGTTAAGGTATCCGTGAGAGGGTAGGAAAAAACATAAACAGACTAWGGTGCATTCACAGCATCCCATGGTGTGAGGTTCCTAACTGATGTGGAGTTGGAAAAAAGAAAATGTGGAGAGTGGGAACTCAGAAAATGTGGTTCAGCTGGGGAGAGCACTCGGGATCCCCCAGGCACCACAAATTCCCAAACAGAAGCACTCTATGTTTAGCAATGGGTCATTACTCCTATTGCATCATCACCTCACGTCAGCCTCACTGCGTACCTTGGGACCTCACAACACTCCTGGCAGCACTGCCTCTTAGCCACAAGAGTGCCAGTTCCACAACGCTGTGAACTGTCCGATTTCCTATTTTGGAGTAAAGCTCAGAAAAGCACCGYGCTTTCTCCAGAACGTCGCTTCTGGAAGATGGAAGTCCAAAGCAAATACTGGCTTACATGAAACAGAGTCAAACTGAAAATTCTTATGCTTTGTGTGACTTGCTGTGATAGATATCGCCAAATAATGGGATTATATTTCCACATGGCATTTTCTTTTCTCTTTAAGGAATAAGGAATAAAATTATTGCTACAT